GTGCAAGGACAGATTTTCTTCATATACTTCAACCAAAGCATATCACAACAGACTGGGTGCAGAAGTAGATCTGAGAATCCAACTGTCTTCTATTAAGTCCGACATTAAAGAGATTTATAAAATTATAAAGTGAGGCCACTCTTTTCAACATACCACCCAAAACAGGACTGTTGTGCATACACATCTTAATTAATATGTAATACATTTATTCTTTTTAAAAATTAATTCAAAAGTTGGGGCACCTAGGTGGCTTGGTCAGTTAAGCATCTGACTCCTGGTTTTAGCTCAGGTCATGATCTCACGGGTCATGAGATCCAGCCCTGGGTCAGGCTTGGTGCTCAGCGGGGAGTCCGCTTGAGGACTCTCTCCCTCTGCCACTCCCCCCACTCTCATGCTTTCAAGCTCTTTCTCTCAAAAGTAAATAAATCTTTCCAAAAATCATAAAAATTAATTTAAAAATTAAATATCTTTAAAGATTTATTTACTTGTTTTAGAGAGAGAGAGGGAGAAAACACGAGTGGGGGAGGGGCAGAGGGAGCGAGAGAATCCACAAGCAGACTCTCCACAGAGTGCAGAGCCCAACATAATGCTAGATCCCAGGACCCCGAGATCACGACCTGAGCTGAAACCAAGAGTCATCCACTCAACCGACTGAGTCACCTAGGCACCCCATAAAAAGTATTTTTGAAGTTTTTGTTATCATTTCATGGCAAATATCAATAGATATAACCCACATAAAGAAAATCTCTTTGTGGTCCTGGGCGCCTAGGTGGCTCAGTTGGTTAAGCATCTGCCTTCGGCCCAGGTCGTGATCTCCCAGTCCTGGGATCGAGTCCTGCATCAGGCTCCCTACTCATCGAGGAGCCTGCTTCTTCTCCCTCTGGCCTTCAGCGCCCTGCTTGTGCTCTCTCTCTCGCCCTCTCTCAAATAAATAAATAAAACCTTTAACAAACCTTTAAAAAAAATCTCTTTGTGGTCCTTAATACTTTAAGAGCGTGAGGATTCTTACAATTCAACAATAAAAAGATGAACAATTCAATCTAAATGGATAAAGAATCTAAGTAGACATTTCTCCAAAGATATACGAATGCCCAATAAGCACATGGAAAGGTGTTCAACATCATTAGCCATCAGGGAAATGTAAATCAAAAACACAATAAGATACCACTTCACACCTACTAGGATGGCTATAATCACAAAGATAATAACAAGTATTGAAGAGAATGTGGAGAAACTGGAGCCTTCATACACTGCTGGTGAAAATGTAAAATGGTGCAGCTACTTTGGAAAACAGTCTGGCAGGCCCTCAACATGTGAAACATAGAGTTACCATATGACCCAACAATTCCCCAAAAGAAATGAAAACATGTCCACAAAAAGACTTGCACATGAATGTTAACAGCAGCATTATTCATAATAACCAGAGCAGAAACAACCCAAATGTCCATCAACTGATGAATGGATAAATAAAATGTATTATCCATATAATGTAATATTATTCAGTAATATACGGTTGATAACGGAGGACCAGCTGAAAGAAAATTCTATCTAGTTACCAGTGGATTCCCATACGTGCCTATTTAAAGGATTCAAAATAGAAAAGTGTTAAAAAAAAAAAAACCGAGCCCTCTGAAGGCAGCCAACCCTAATTTCACTATTCCCTCCCACAGGATGAGCCCAACAGAAGCTAGTTTTACCCACATTCCAGCATTGTGGAATGGCTTCTCAAAGCCTTCCCAGGAAATGACCACTGTATTTATCTTCCGCCCAGCCTATAGGTTTCCCAAGTAATTGGTGATAGTGAGCGCTGAGGAAGCAAAAGGCTTGTCAGCCCATGATTTCATTGCTACTTATCCACTAACTCAATCAATCTCCATGGTTCACATTCACCTCAGCAGACAGTACAGACAGTACAGACCTTTCTACCCTCAGCAGCCATCACTCTCTCCTGCCAAACACAAATGAAACCCACCCCTCAGTCCCCAAAATCCTCTCCCACCACTCTGATACCCTTAGACAACCTGCTCATAGAACCATCATCTTCTAACTCTTCTCATTCTTCCCAAATCATGAACATTTCCAAATAAAGATAGGGTCCAACACTCAAACTAGTGATTTCAACAGAGCAAACAGAAGGGTTCCCAAAGCGTACTGCCATTCATCCACCTCTGGCGAATGGGAGAGTGCCCTGATCCAAATACCAATGGCCATATATATAAGTCCTTTTGAGGTCAGGCATCATCATATCAAAAAGATGATACACTGTTTTATTGAGTTCCTGCTAAGGGATATAACTTCCTTTTGGATAAAACTGCAACTTCTTAAAGCCACAAAGCAATTTCTCCTACCCAAAGAGTGATGGTAGCATTAAACACACACATACAGGAGCGCCTGGGTGGCTCAGTCAGTTAAGCATCTGCCTTCAGCTCAGGTCATGATCCCGGGGTCCTGGGATCAAGGCCCACACGAGGCTCCTTGCTCAGCGGGGAGCCTGCTTCTTCCTCTGCCTGCCGCTCCCCCTGCTTGTGCTCTCTCTCTCTCTGACAACTAAATAAAATCTTTAAAAAAGAAAAGTTAACATACCCCAAAATCTCATTACTAGAGAAAAAATGGGGGGGGGTGTAGATTTCATTATAGTCTTTTTTCAATGCATGTCATACAACTTTTCGTAATTTTTCTATTTAAACAAAATTAGGATATGATATATTACATTATATTCTGCTTCTTTCACTTATGAGCATTTTTCCTTGACATTAAATACTCTCAAACAATTTTAATGTCTGCATAGTACTCAAGTATATGAACAAAAGTACTGTTGCTCAGTCAGCCTTTGATTGTTAAATATTCTCATTGTTGACAATTTTCTATCATAAATAACTTGTTAGTGAACATGCTCACACATAAATCTTGATATGCACCTCCAATTATTTTTTTAGGATAAATTCCTAGAAGAAAAACTGTTGAGTCAAGGAGTATAAATATTTTAAGGCTCTGGGGTGCCTGGGTGGCACAGTTGGTTGAGCGTCCGACTCTTGGTTTTGACTCAGGTCATGATCTTGGGGTCGTGGGAATGAGCCCTGTGTCAGGCTCTGCACTCAGCACAGAGTTTGCTTGAGATTCTCTCTCCCTCTCCCTCTGCCCCTCCTGCTTATGCTCTGTCTCTAAAACAAATAAAATCTTGAAAAAAAAATTTTTTAAACAAATATTTTAAGGCTCTTGATACATGTATGACTACAAATAACCCTTCCACCAGCAGTACATAAAAGTGTCTATTTTCTTGTACCTTTTTACTAAAAAGGTTGCTGATATTATTTTAGCCTTTGCCACTTGGGATAGGTTAAAAAAAAATGGCTGGTTTTTGTTTCGATCAAGGGTTCTTTCAGAATCCTTGCTGTCCCACAGCGTTGTCATTCCATCCTTATCCCCACCTCATCCAAGGCAAGTGCAGTGAGCGAAACAGAAATCCACACGCTAGCTATGCACAACACATCAGGAGCTGTCCATGCTGGATAGGGGCCACACATTGTGGGGGGATTTTGCTACTTTAAAGAAATAGAAAACTTGATGTTTTGGGGGGAAATAGTGGTGTGCAAATGTGTGGAGATTTAGGTAATCTGGCAATTCCCAGATCTTAGATTACGTCAGGAAGCAAGTTTAATGCCAACACACAAACGCTTGGGGGGCACACAGAAGAACAAATGGTCCTTCTCCCCTCCTGTGTGTGTTAATCACATTAGAATAAAAAGGAGAAATAAATCAAATAGCTTCAATAAGGAATCACTTCAGCATGTATTTCCAAATTATCCCACAACTAGCACCATCCTACAAACTTAAAACTGTTTTGATTCAGCACAAGTATCCCCTTCACATACAAACCACCCCCCCCAACCTCATATCCTGGAAAGGGAAAACATAGGCTGAGGGATGCTGGGAACCCTAAAAGAAATGTGCTAACAGCAGGCCCCTACCCCCAGCCTGGTAAATCTCTCATCTATAATCCAACATGAGAGACAACAGGCAAACAGCAAGAGGTCATCTTCAAAGAACCGGTTGCTACGGGAAGCAAGTGTAGAGGCAGCAAGCATGTCCCCATCAAAGTCCGGCAGCTGCAGAAGAACCACAAAGGTACAGCTCCCCTCCGAGCGGAGCAAGAATGGCAGGGAGGGGGGCCTCCGGGAGAGGGGGGACAGGAGGAGGAGGAAGGGAAGAGAAAAACATCAGACCGGCAGCAGCTGCCCAGTGGAACAGAAAACCTGGTAGTTTTCTGTTGTTCAACAAGGGGAAAAACAGGAGGGAAAAGGAATACAGAAAATAGCATTTCCTAAACTTGCCTTTTTAAGCGCTGGTCAAATCTTTTGGCACACCTGAGAGATGGTCAGATAAAGCCCACAGCTATGGAAAGAGAAACCCAGCCGTTAGTAATAAAATGGCAAGGACCAGCTTTCAGCACCATCTCAGTACAAATATGATCATCTTCTGGTAGAAAAATCTCCAAATATTTAGTCTACCATGCCTCCTTCCCAATAGGGCAACACCAACCATACAGAAGAGGGAACCTACCACTTGTCCATGGAATCTAAATAGGAGAATCCAAGGGGACCCCTTAATTTGAGTAGAAGCTGCCCTCATTTTTCCAGGTGAAAGACACAAGAGCTAATAGACTTCACAGCCCCTAATGGACATCTCAAATAGTCCCTTTTGCATTTGTGATCTCCAACCCCACGTGTAGCACCGGCCCTGGGAATCATACAGGACTCAAGGGAAAGAGACCGCTAGAGAATCAAGGCCCATTCCCTTACTCTGAAGACAGACCTTGGGACATTAAGAGACTTGCCCCAGGTCACCTAGCTTATCTAGAGCCCTGTCTCCCGCCTGTCCTAGCTTATCTAGAGCCCTGTCTCCCAACTCACAGGCCGAGGCTCCTTCCTCTGCTGGGCGACAACCATAAAGGCCTAGGGACAGGAAGTAGAGGGGCTAACAGCTTGGTCTTCATTCCTCACCAAGGCTCGGGCTGCTACCAGATGGCTTGGCACGCTCCATCAAAGCGCTGGGTCTCTCTTCTCTTCCAAAGAAGAGCCATCTGTCTGTCGGTTTCTGTGGGTCTTCACAGGAGTCAGGCCCCCAAGCAGGTGGACACACCTGTATTTCCTCCCTGGCTCACTCTCTCTGTATCACATAGCTCTGGTGAGAAAGTGCTCAGGCCCTCAAAGAAGGTACGGTTCGCTCAAAATGATTTCCTGAAACAGGTGAGAGGTTCTGTGGGGCTTGATGTGCACACACAAAAGGCTCAGGCACGAAGCTGTGTTGCAGAACCGTATCTCATGGGAGAGGCAAAGCTGAAACGGGACTTGCGCAATCTGTTTTTCTCAATGGATCTGTCTTCACCGTATTTTGCAGCTAGAAAATGTGCAGATGAAAACCAAAAATCAAACAAGATTTAAATGGCACTCTCGATAAGCCAAGACTTTCTCTGCACGTGTCCGCAGCCAAGGGGAAAGAGTAAACATGAAATTAAAAAAATAAAAATTAAAAACCCTCCTGAATTCAAATCAATAAAATATAAACTTGCACTCCTCCACACGTTATTGCCCCACAGCTAACAGACGAGTGAGTACACCGAAGCCGCCTGCTGGGCTCTCCTCATCCCACCGCCACCACCTCAAACTAAGCTTTTTTGCAGTGACAAGATTTCTGAGAACCCTACTTCTCCTTGTTCTGTTAGTGTCAGAGAAAAACAGAAGCGCGAGGACAGATGTACGCACTTATTTACTTGAAGACAGACTTCCTAAGGCCCTTCCGCTTCTATCACTAAAACACGTGAGAGAATTGAAGACAAAAAAAAAAAAGGAGGTAAAAAAAATTCATGAGGGTGATTCAACTGCCCAGAAAGGAACAACTGTCCATAAAATGAACAACCTCCGTGAAATAAATTTCTGTTGTATACCATCTTTATAATTTTTTTTTTCGGCTGAAACCATTAGAAGCTTCTGGCTGCAATGGTAAATTACGGAGGAGTGAAGTCACTGCTGGACGGTCTCCTTTCCAGTTCACAACTAGAGATTAAGTTTAAGAGACCCAACCCAACCCCCTTTCCATTGAATCAGACTTGCTCCTGCCCTCTGAGCCCTCAGAATCTGAAGGCCGAAGGCCAAGAGGAAGGCCTCCATGGCCCCAGGTCAGGGGCTGGCAGCCTCTGAAGGGGAGGGCAAGGGCTTCTGAATGACCAGATTAAGTCTGAATGGAAGAAGAACCTATGATTAAGTTTTCTGAATAGTTGGCTCTCTTAGGGGGAGCAAACTAAAGAAAGAAAGAGAGAGGGAGAAGAAAGGAAGGAAGGAAAGAGAAAGAAAAGAAAAAAGGAAAGGAAGGAAGGAAGGAAAGAAATAGAGAAAAAGACAAGAAAGAAAAAAAGGAAAGGAAAGGAGAAAGGCAGGCAGAGACCTAGTGTGGCTGTTACTGCCCCTCAGAAATGGGAACCCTACTCTTTGGATCTAAGAGAGTGGTATTTCACATACTCGATAGGTCAAGCCTACTTTCTGACCAATGTGTGGCATTCAGCTGATTTTCCAGGGAAAGGAAGAAAAAAAAGTAACATTGCCCTACGTCTTCTCCAGATTACTATTTAGACAGTTCAGGTTGACGTGGAACATGCTTTAACTACCAATCCCCCAGGACAAACGTAGAAACTTCTCCAAGTCATTACACAGCAGAGAAACGGGTCTTCCCTTTAACTCAGTCTCATCTTCAACCAAAACTTCTTTACGATATCATTCCAGCTTCACTGGCCCAGAATCCTTGCCAGAATGCTCTCCACCCCCAAGCATAAGTAGGGAAGGAAAAGAGCAAATAGCATTTTATCCAACCTGTGGCAGCCTGGTCAGAATTGTTCTGGCTACACAAGATGCAGGCCTGCTGAGGTTTTGTTCTGCTTTTCTAAGTGGGGGGAAAATATCAACATAAATCTTTCCTCCCAGTGAAAGAGCAGAAGATTTAAGTTAATTCATAACGCAGACTACTCATATATCACGATACAACTCATTAAAAATCTTGTTGAACAAAATGTTCAGTGACCCTTCTCTGTTAAAAACGCAAGTTTGGGTGTAAAAGGCTAATGTTTTAAAAATGCTGGGGGCGGGGGGGATGGTTGGGAGAGGCGAAAAGCTCTTCCAAAACCATAATGTTCAAGCTCGGCCCGTCTTGGCAAGTAGGACGCGAGTCCCTTCTCTAGCATCTGGTTCTGCAACTCATATTTAATGTGTTTCCATTAAACCGCAGGGGACACAAGGATGAAAAGCACAGATTCTGCCCTCCAGAGAGACTGTAGCTACACAGAGGACAGAAGGTGTGAACAGAATTAAATGTAGACGGTAGGGAGGGTTAAGTGCCAAGAGTGAAGCCCATCAAGAGAATGCTCTGAGTGAGAGGCAAAGATGGGGGCCTGAGGGGCTCCAGGAGGACTTCAGGATTTGGTCTTCAAAGATAAAAGATAAAGAAGACTGTGAGCTTTGGTTCCTTCCTCATTTCTACCTGGAACTGTCCAAGGATTTTGAAAGGCAAGCTTCCACCCAGCAACCCATGGGGCGGGCATGACCACATTTGTATTTATCAAGCTCATTAAATATGTAAAATACTTCATATATATTTATGCATTTGTGAAGCATACAAATAGCAGTTCTTAATGTATACTTGTTTAATCTTAACAACAGCCATAAAAAGGATTTTTTTAAGATACTCATAACGAAAACTCAGAGAGGTTAGAGGGTCACTCGGCTAACACGTAAGACACAGAATGTGAACTCAGGTCCGATTGCCAAGTCTGATGTTCTATTTCCATCTGCACTGCAAGAGTTCCAGGCACACATCCCCTCCTCCAGTGCATTTTTTTTTTTTAAGGCATCAAAAACCCACCAGTAACTTAAAACCTCCAGTGTAATACTTACCATATACTTATTTGTTTAAATGCATGTCTCCCCATCCAGACTGAGTTCCTTAAGGGCATCCTTCACCTTCATATTCTAGCACTGGGTATGGCACCTAGGAGAGCTGAACAAACAAGCAATGTTCACACTGAGCTGCGTGTCTCATGGCACCCAGAACCGCAGAGAGCCTGCTTCAGCTAGGAAGTCATCAAAGGGGTTTTGCTCGCTTAACCTAGCTGACCCTCAGCTTCCACAACTGTTAACAGGGATAATAAGAATACCTGTTTCATAAGGTTGTTTTGATAACTGTGTCAGATAATAAGTGCTAAATGCACGCCAGCGCCTGGAACATGCTCAGTCCTCCACAAAGGCGGGCAAATCATCTCTAACCTCAAACGGAAGATAAAAGGGAGGTATGCCAGACTTCACCTTTAATCTACTAGATTTAAAATCTGGAAACTGGTAAGATACTATTAAATTTTAAAAGGGTACAAAACCATGTGTGCTATCCATTAAAACACAGTGGGGCAGATCTAAATACACTGATATAGGAAAACTTTCAAGACATCATTTTTAAATGAAAAAGCATGTCCTGGAATAAGATATGTGCATGTATGCATATGTATGTGTGTGTAATTACATGCATACAAGCATCTAGAAAAATACTCTGAAATACAGAAGGAGTGGGGCAGGAGGGGAAGAGGTCTTTCACTTCTGTCACTGTGCAGTTCTGATATTTGAACCTTCTTACGAAAATACACATTTTCATTAAAAGTAGTAATAGTGTACAGTTTCATTCATATAATATACCAGTGTGGGTTCCTGAGTTGTGACAAATGTACCTTAATAAGTAAGATATTAACAATTAGAGAAAGTGGGTGCAGGATATATGGAAACTCTCTGTTCTACTGTTGCAACTTGTCTGTAAATCTAAAACTCTTCTAAAATAAAAAGGTTATTTTTTAAAGCAATGTGTAGCCCAGAACGATCTTTGCTCTTAAGAATATATCCATTTGGGGGTGCCTGGGTGGCTCAGTTGGTTGAGCAACTGACTCTTGATCTTGGCTCAGGTCTTGATCTCCCAGTTGGGAGTTCAAGCACCGTGTTGGGCTCCAGGCTGGGCGTGGAGCCTACTTAAGAAAAAAAAAGAAAGAAAGAAAGAAAGAAAAGAAAAGAGTATGTCCATATACATAATTATACATTCCTTACACTCTAGAGGGTTAACAATGGCTCCCACTGGTAGTACTGAAGATGATGCTCATTTCCTTATACCTTCTAGATCAGTGGTTCTCCAAGGGTGGTTACCAGATCAGCAGCAGCAGCATCTGGCAACTTGCTGGAAATGCAAATTCTCAGGCCCCACCCCAGAGCCTCTGAATCAGACACTGCAGAGGTGGGGTCAGAGGATGCTGATGCACACACAAGTTTGAGAGTGCTGTTCTAGATCATAGAAACTGGTTTTGTAACAGGTGACACTTTTATAGTCAAAACAACGGGACAATGAAACTTGGAAAGGGGGTCAGTGTGCTGATGGACGAAAAAGGATTTTCAGACCGGACACATGCCCTCATGTGGTACGTGCACTGGGATGCAGGCACAGGCCAGTCCCAACCCAAGCTGACCTATTCTGTCCATCCTCTGGCTCCCCAAGCCAGCTTCCGTGGGGGACTCTGGGATACCTTCAGAGACAAATCTCAGACAAACGAATCTGACATGGAGAGTCTTCTTTTTTAAAAAAAAAAACATTTTATTGGAAGGGAAAAGTTTGTTGGCGGCAGTTTATCATCTTCATCTTCAAATTTATGGCCTCCAGTCTCAATTTTACATTAATAGCACCAGCCAGGGCATGACAACTAATAGTTTAAGAGGTAAAGACTCATCTTCACAATGAAGAAAAAAAAAACTTAAACCTGTACGTAGTAGCAGTTCAGACGAATAAGGTGCCATGCTAGGTTACAAGTCCTGCCTTTGGAATGGCCCCTCATGTCCTTCCTTGATCCTCTTCCTTGGTCCAGGAGGATTTATAATCCCCAGCTGGCTTCCTCCCCTCTAAGTGCAGGACTTTGACCTTGTGTAGAAGACCCATGAGGTCTGCATTTCAGCTCTACTTTCAGAAGCACTCAAGGGGCCGCCTGTCTGCTGAATGAGCTCTATGAACACCACGGTAAAGAAGAGCTCAGAGAGCCAAGTCACCTTAAAAATTACTACCTCCTAGAGCCAAGGGGAGGAGGGGTAGGAGAGGAGCAAAACTAAACCAATCAGAAGTCCGCCACCCATGACCAAGGGGCTACTCTGGGCACCTTCCCGGGCCCAGGGAGTGGGGGTCACATTCCCAGTTGCCAAGCCCGCTACTCTGCCAGGGTGGCCAGAGTGGACCTCAGGATCCCAAGAGAGGGGCCAAGGCATCAGGGCCCACCGCTGACGTAGCCCCGGGCTGGGGGACAGCGTGTCATCAAGGCAGAAACTGCACAGGTAGGTGGGCATGACAGCCACAGAACCCAGGTGGGACAGTTAGAAACAAGAGATGGACCCTGCTAGAAAGACCACTGGGGGTCTCAGTCTGAGTCATGGCTTCGTCCGGTCAAGACTTGCAGCCAGAGGACAAGGAGAATGAAACTGGAGTGCAGACAGGAGACCGTTCTCCCAGATCGGGGACCCATGGCTCAAAGACTTTCACGTGACTTGGGAGCAGCAATGAGCAGGGACTGGCAATAAAGGCGCCACGGTGAATGAAAGCAGGGCTTTGGAATGACTGACGCACAGACACTTGTGCGGAAGAGAACAGAGTCTGGCTTCCTCAATTACCTCCGTGCCTTTGGTCTGCCCCCCCACACCCACCAAACTCCCGTCATACCAAGGGGTTCAGTGCACAGGAAATGGTGAAGGACAAAAAGTATAAGCAGTGCTTTAAAAAAAAATTTTTTTTAAGATTTTATTTGTTTATTTGTGAGAGAGCGTGAGTGCACACATGTGAGCACAAGTTGGGGGGGTACAGAGGGAGAGGAAGAGAAGCAGTCTCCCCGCTGAGTGGGGAGCCCACCTGCAGGGCCTGATCCCAGGACCCTGAGATCATGACCTGAGCCGAAATCAAGAGTCGGACACCTAACCAACTGGGCCGCCCAAGCGCCTATAAGCCGTGCTTCTTGAAGCAAAAAGATCAAATGGCCCCTTCCCTCCAAACCCATGGTGAGGTGGCTGGGAATTCAGGCAGGGTGGCCTCTTTGGAGACCCTAAGAGAATACTCTGCTTCTGGTGGAAGTAACCCTATATCAAGTTTAGGAAAATGGATTCTATCATAAGTCATAGCACTGGAACGAGAGAAAATCATTTTCTGTAGCCGAAGATTGGAATCCAACAAACCTTGGAGGAGATGGGAGGAAGGAGCAGGCTGACCTGGGGCACCCCTGTGTCAGGGGTGTTAGTGTGGGCACCTCAGCCATACTGGGGTTCAACAGGACCAGCCTCCAACGGTATGAAGACAGCACTTCTTTTTTTTTTTTAAAGATTTTATTTATTTGACAGAGAGAGACACAGCGAGAGAGGGAACACAAGCAGGGGGAGTGGGAGAGGGAGAAGCAGGCTTCCCGCTGAGCAGGGAGCCCGATGCGGGGCTCAATCCCAGGACCCTGGGATCATGACCTGAGCTGAAGGCAGACGCTTAACGACTGAGCCACCCAGGCGCCCCTGAAGACAGCAGTCTTATCCTCAAGAAGTGGTGCCAGGTGAGTATACTTCAAGGGAAGAACTCAGAATGAACAGAGATGAACCAAGGACACAGGCAGAGCACCCAAAACCCAAAGCCCCAGAAGAGCAAAACTAAGATCGAAGCAGAGTAATTGGAAACGGAAGTGACAGGGCTTTATTACATGGGATGCCGCAGACGTGAGCATCCTCCGTGCAGCCAGAGCAGATCATGTGAGTAGGGCTCTCACAGTGGCACCTTTAGGGATAAGGTCTGCACGCTCATGTCCGAGGTTGAAGGAATTGAGAGATTCCAAAATTCCATTCTAGAAGAGCCCAATTAGAACAACACAGGAAGAATCAAGAATCGTGACAGCCATATCCAGAAAGTGGGGCAATGCCTGAAGTTTATAGAAGGCCTGAAACCCAGGGGCTTAAGATAAGCACCACAAATGCCTAATCACATGCAGGAGTGTGTCCTGTTTCACCTAATCTGAATCATAAACCATAATGAGGTTTGGCTATGGTGCACCTAGTGTATCCTGCTCTATTCCGAGAAGCCCTGGATCAGCCAGTCTAGAAACAGGGTGCACAGATAAATGCACAGAAAAGACAAACCAGACACCTCGCTGGTCACAGGGGAATCTACAGGAAGAAGAGTACAGTGGGAGGACTTTTTTTTCATCTATATACTTTTTCACTGGTCAGACTTTAACGTGAAGGTCTTCTTGCATTATAGGAGTAATTCCTGGAAACAAATTCTTTTTTTAAACAACACTTAAGGCCAACAGTACAGAACGGGTGAGTGATAGCTATCAATGAATGGCTTTTGATGCCAAGTCTCAATGCACCTCATCAGCTCTTTTTCCAAAGGGTATTTGAGAGTAAGTAAGAGGCAGAGAGAAATGGCCACTCCAAAGCACTCTATATAGAAACAGGCTAAAATTTTATGGGGCCCTCTAGGCTGAGAAGCTATTAGATGCCACAGCTCCCAAGCAGCTAGGTAGCAAAGAAAGCACTCCAGGGAAGCTATTCAAGAGCCTCCAAGATCTTCCCATTTGTAAGTCTGAAAGTACTTTTGTTCTTCTCGGGGTTTAAGTTTCTGGGTCACCCAGCCTTTTGTTAATAACCAAATGAACACATCTGCAGTAGAGCAGTACCCTCCTTATTTGTCCCCCCAAATATGAGTGACCTGGAGAGCATTAATACCTCTGCTTTCTTAAGCAGAAAGCACTCGACTGTGTTTAATTGCACCTCGCCATCACTCCATCTCCACAAAGCGACTTCAGTGAATATCCCAAATAGGAGAAGAGGTACCATTCATTGTTACACAATAAAATAATTACTATTGCTTGCTCCCCCAATCCAGGTAACTGTGTGTGTGTATACGCGCACGCATGCACGTGCATGTGTGTTGGGGGGGTGGAAAGTGCTGACAGGAGG